ATGAGCTGGTGAGACAGACCACAAGGATACAGAGGGGGTGATAATTGTACCTAATTTCTTGCCCATCCCCATTTCAAGCTTTCCGGATATGCTTTCTGTTCTAGGAAGTGGCTTTTTGTTCCAGCACACTGGATCTCAGTGGATTAATAGCCAAAGGTTGAAAGAGCCTCAGTATAGTGTGGACACGCTATCATGTTATAATATTTTAGCTTCTTTGTCTCCCGTATTGAGTGATTTATATTCTGATTGGGTACTTTAAACTGCTTGGCAGTGATGCTAAAAAAATGTAGACTGTGGTGAGAGGGGAATGAAGAGGGTTGTGGGGAAGGAACAGAGGAGCCGAAAGTACTCAGGTACACACATACGCCAACATCGGCCAGTTTCTTTTCTTTGGCTCTTTGGAGCCTTGCTGCATCTAAAGTCTCTGAGGATCAGTTTACTTTTATTTCTATTGTTCATGAGTGTTTGGCCTACATGTATGTATGTGCACCATATGTGTACCTGGTGACTACAGAAGCCGGAAGAGGGCACTGGGTCCTTCGAAACTAGACTTCAGATGCTTGTGAGCCACCACGTATGTGCTGGGAAATGAACCAGTCCTCGTCAAGAGAGTCTCTGAACCACTGAGTCATCGCTAAAGCCCCATTATATATTCACACATACATAAACATATATGTACACATATATACATGTAAATATATATATGTAAACATAAATGTATATGTACATGTCTATATATGTAAATCTGTGTGTGCGTGTGTGTCCCTCTGCCTCCTCAGTGCTGAGGTTGCACAGGATCTATTTGCAGTGATAACTGAGGATTTGGAGAACACTGTCCTGGCTTTAAGACCTGGTTCTTCATAGTGAAAAGGACAAAGAGGTTTGGACTCGGAGCAGCAGAGCACACAGCCACTTCGGAGGACACAAGATGACACAAGTGGACTCCGGAGAGAGCACAGCCAGAAACGTCCCCGTGCAGACAGGGTGGTCAGTGCTGGGCACTGCGAGGAATCACATTTCTGTGGTCTTACCACCAGCGCTGTGACCCTGTGCCCCAGGTCAGGCTGTGACCCTGTGCCCCAGGTCAGGCTGTGACCCTGTGCCCCAGGTCAGGCTGTGACCCTGTGCCCCAGGTCAGGCTGTGATCCTGTGCCCCAGGTGTGACCCGGGGCGCGGAGCAGCTGCCGGCAGAGCCTACAGAGAAACGGCTATATTTGGGCGATTGCATGGAGCCATGCAGCAGCTCATGGCAGTGGAGCTGGTGAAGAGGTAGGCAAGCAGCTGGAACGACCATCAGGCCTCTGCAGGTGCATGTGAGTAATGACAAGTTGATGGAGAGTCTTCAGCTCTCGCACAGCAGTGCTCAGCCTTCCAGCGCTCCAGCCCCTTCACACAGCCCTCATGTTGTGGTGACCCCGGCCATATAACTACTTTGTTGTTACTCCATAACTGTAATTTTGCCACTGTCGTGAATCGTAATGTAGACGTTTGATACGAAACCCTCAAAGGGACCGCGGCCCACGGGCTTGAGAACCGCCGAGGGAAAGCCACTGCAAGGTGTAGTAGTTCACCACCAAGGTAACAAACACTGCGCGTTTGCTAGCTTTAGCCAACAGGACAGGCACTCACCCCTTTATTTAGCACGTGTATGGTTTATGTGCATAGGTGTGTGCACAGGGGCGTGAGTGCAAGTGTTTGTGTATAAGCATGCATGGGAGGCAAAGGTCAACGTCAGGTGTCTTCCTCAGAGGTTCTTTATTTTATTTTATTTTTTTGTTTTAGGAGGCTCACTCACTTCATTGGCCTTGCTGACCGCCTGGCCTGTCTGGCCTGTGACTACCAGGGACGTGCCTGCTTACCTCTCTCCCATGCTTGAGTCACAGACTTACGCCACAGCGCCTAGATTTTTACACGGGTGCTAATGATCTGAACCCAGGTCCTCACGCTCAAATGACACGAGTGTTACTGAACTGAGGCATCTTCCCGGACTCACATGGGGCCTGCAGGCCAGGCTCCTCAGCCTTCATGTCTTTTTGCCACATGAAGATGGTTTTCTACAGAAGAGATCAAATGTACAGGACCGCCTACCCGCAAGCATCTCGTAACCTGCGTGGCAGCCAAGGGTCTCACTGCTATGTCTTCCTCTGGTCTCACAGCTTCTTGGAGTGGGGTAAAGGGAAGATGTGAGTTTCAGGAGGCAAGGTTTAGAGCAGTACTTCTCAACCTTCCCAATGCTGCGATCCTTAATGCAGTTCCTCATGTTGTGGTGACCCCCGACCATAAAACTATTTTGTCGTTACTTCATAACTGTAATTTTGCTATTTTTCTGAATTGTAGTGTAAACAGCTGATATGCAGAATTGAGAACCACTGCTCTAGAGACTATCGTACGCACTACAGGGACTGTGGGGGTGTTGATGGTCCACCAGGAGGATGAAAAAAGATCAGGTGTGGCCAACCGACCTCCGGTGGTTGCAGGCTGAGCTGAGGATTCATGAAGTCTAGGGAGTGCAGAGGCCAGAGAAGAGCCAGAAGATTGGCCACCATGTCACATGTGTTTGATGCTAGGCCGCCACTTGGCTTTTGTACCAGCCTAAGTACCCATGCTGTCCTGTAGTGGGTACAGCAGATGCTAGTAGGTAGAGACTGAGTTCCGCGTCTCCTCTAACTGACCTCTTGGCCCTCTCACAGGGAGACAGAGCATACCACTCTCTGTGGGCACCAATGTTCCTGATGCACTCAGTCTTTAGCTCAGCATCTGGTCCTGCCATTTGCACTGAATTCACTCTCTGCTGTTCTTACCTTCCACTCTGTGGGTCCTGGGCATTGAACCCAGGTCATTAGCCTTGGTGGCAAGTACCTTTGCCCAATGAGCCATCTCACTGGACTTTGAGGTGGGGGTTTCATTCTAGCCCAGGCTGGCCAGGAACCTATATATCTTCTTACCTCAGCTTTCCAAGTGCTGGGATTGCCAGCATGAGCTGCCACACCTGGCTTTACCTCATTTTATAAAGACCCATGGCATTGGATTAGGGCCATCTGAACTCCTTCATCCTCTTCCCCTCCACCAAGTTCCTGTCCCCAGTCACACTAGGAGTTGGACATCAACCCATGGATGTGGGATGTTCCTGACACCTTCCTTCACCCCTATGGAAGGTCTGCCCTGGATGATGTCTGTCCATTTTCGATCTTCACAGGTCTAGTGACTTGGTCAGTTCTGTCACTTCTGCAACTTGGTGGTAAAGACATGCTTTCCAGCCTGGCCTGCCACAGGGCTCCATAGGCCTGTTAATAGTGGAAGATCTTAGAAGGATGGTGAGAGATGGCCTTGGACCCCTGTCATGGACAGGACACCTGCACAAGCCAACACTTATGCCCAGCCTACTGTAGTTGGCACACTGGGAAAGGGAGGGTGGACTGACAATGGTGGTTCCACCATGTTTTCTTCTTGAGGAATGTTGAGAGAATATTTTGTATGGATGCAACACCTGTCAATAAAAAAAGAATATCTATCTATCTATCTATCTATCTATCTATCTATCTATCTATCTAT